TGGTCGTAGTAAATTTGGAAAACAAAGAAAATAATCCGAACTATGCAAATTGTGCGTTGATAAATTGACTTTGGGAATTGTGTATGCACTCAACGTGGTTTTGACGCAATCCTACCCATACTAAGTGTTATCAGTTGCCTATAGTAAATCTTTTGTGTGGAATAGATCTACAATAAATACAATACTAAATTACTCGTTTCCTGGATTGTTTATTTATTTATTTACCTATCTATTTTATAATTTTTGTTATCTATTCATTAATTTAATATTTTTTATCTATTTATTCATTTAATCATTATGTTATCTATCTATTTATTTAATCTTTTTGTTATCTATCTATTCATTTAATCATTTTGTCATTCATTTATTTATTTACACGTATTTTTTTCAAAGTTGAACACTTTTCGAAGCAAGACATGCAATTGGAATTACACAGGTTAGAAAATCATGGATTAATATCCAAAAGACTTCCTGGAGTGTCGCGCAGGGGAGCGTCTCCAATCGGGACCGTTCTTAATAAATCCGTGTTCCAATCCAATCGAATGTGATTTTCAATTAAATTGGAGCTCGCGAGGAGGAAAAAAGAATTAATTTTTCAAGAACGAGACCGTGAGCTATCTGGACGGAGCGGACTGTACCACCAAGGATTATCTTCTCATCAACGGTTAGCTCTCTGTAATCTCTGGGAAAGGGGGAAAGGGGGTGGTCGGCGAGTATTGCACCATTCTAGACTCCTTCAGACATGACGTCACCATACAGTGCGTCCCAGGATTAAACGGCCAGACTGCAGTGGCAAAATATCTACAATGAATTTTAGATCCAACAGTGATGCCGGTCTAAGCTATACCTCCTCTCCCCCTTCCCAAATTTTTAGGATATACATAGTTTTTTTTTGATTTTGGTAACGAATATTACAACTTAAGAAAAATGACTGTTCCACACACCTCCCCCCCCCCCAACAATTTTTAGCGTTAAATACATCCGTTGTTTTTACTCCATTTATTATACAGGGCATCAAGCTACTCACAGATTCCGTGATCACATCCTGCTTCAAAATTTAGTATTTTTCAACTTTTAAAGACAAAAAATTAAAAGGACGCTGTAAATCACCCACTCCAATCCCAAAAACACATGGTTTTAACCATGGCCCAAGTTTAAGTGGGCAATTTAATTTTTTATGAGAGAACTTTGGTGCGGATTCCTCTAAAAATTGAACTGTCCAATTAAATTGGCAATAGGTGAATTGGTTTGGTTCCTTTCTGCTCAACGCAGTCCAATTGTGATATTGCGATGTGCTGAGCCTGATTGTAGAGTAACCATTCATGCCTAGGAGAGGTTCCTGCTGCATGACCGAAGAATTAAAACGCTCTATCATTTTGGATCCTCAAAATACAGCCCGCTGCCGCGCCAGGCTGCGGATAAAGCGGCGAGTGCCATGAAAGTCAAAACGCCTTCACTTTCGTGCGTATGCAACACGGACATCCGTAGAGCCCGAATAGTTGCATCTAAGAGTTATAGTGAAAGTCTTTTAGTGTTCGTCACATGCGCTATTAACTGAGGGCGCGCTCGTTTCTTTTTTAATTTCAGCGTTGCGTGTTATGCTAATGAGCTTGTGCGCATCTAATTCAATCTTGATTCATCCTGCATTTGTAGCTTTATTTGATAGCTGAGCAGCCGACTTCAAACTTCGATTTCTCAAACAGTCTCCTCTCCGAAAAACTATTCCGGTTTCCGGCGAGGTTTCTGGCTTGAAAGTTTGGGGGAAAATGGCTGTGTTCTCTGTTCTCGGCCAGAAAACTAGAGATCAGGACACCAGCAAGGAACGGAATGCCCGACCCCCTTCGGTAATCCCTCCGAAGGAGCTCAAATTAATCAAACCAGGCTCGGAAGGGAGCGAAAAGGACCGAACAGCGCGGCGACGACGCACAGTGTATCGAATTAGCGTGGTCGGACATGAAATGTTTAAATAAAACTGCAAAGAATGTTCAATTCGTCAAATTGTAAATTTTAAGGGGTGCTTCTAGTTCGAAGTCGAATATTTCACGAGAAACCAATGGAACCACTTTTAGAACCTTGAAGGTTTGTATACGAGTAGACGGAGTCACATGCTTTTAAAGTTTCCAAATGTCCGTCCTCTCCTATTGACTCGATCCACTGTGCGACGGGAACAAACAACAACCGCAAAACGAGTCTGAATTTGACAGACGAAACCTCAATCCGCCTCGCGGTTGCTCTAGGTGCCAGTCCAAGACATCCAGTGAGCACGAGACGCGGCGCTGTGGATTTTGTATTTAAATGAGAAGTTTAAGACTCTAATGGATTCAGATAGTAAGAGGAAACTAAAGAAAGAGAATCATTTTTTGAAGAATGTTACCTTTTCTGTTTCCTCATCTCCTGCTTTTTCTATTTTCGTTTTGGATGACGGCCATTTCGGGAAAATTTTTCATTTTAGGGTCCTTACTTTTACAGGTACTTTTTTTTACTTTTCCAGGTTTCTTACTTTTTAGACTGTGTACTTGGGTTCCATTTCTGGTTTTTGCCGCAATGAGCTTTGCCCAGTATTAAAACCGATTCAAAACAAAAAAATAATACTAATTACGCACTGATTACACCTTAGTCGCGGACGGGTAATTACGAGCGACGGTTCACTAATGATAAGAAAAAAAAACCAGAAGATCAGGAAACAGAAAAATTATGAATCCTGATAAAAATGCAAAAAGTAACAAAATAATAATAATATAAAGAGAGAAGTTATTTTCTGCTCTTCTCTTTTCCTTATTCTTCCTCTTCCTTATCTTCTACAACATCTCCTTTCTCTTCTTCTTTTTACTCCTTCTTCTTCGTCTATATATTTTTTTTAAATGTTAATTTCTTAACCTCCCCACTCTTTTCTTCCCTCCTCTTCCCCCTTCCATCCTTTAACCTCATAGAGGACTCCAACCCACCAGTTAAGGGGCCTCTTTCGGGACAACCGACGCGATGCGCCCCACGGCCTGAGGAGGCCACCTCACAGACAAGGGCGGATCCTTTTTAGGACTCTATCCTAATTGATGACGTCATCAACGGGTGCTTCCGATGAAGTCAATGAAACTTTTGCTTTTCGTCACCGGCTAATGGAGCCTAGATTTTTTTCATTAGCGTGTTTCATTATGTGCCGAAAGTCATGAATATTTGCACACAGCAAAAATTGTACACTGGAGGCATAAATTCGTTTCAGCGAAAGTCTAAATGTTCAAGAGCAAGTATGCAGATCCGATTAAAACGACCAAATATTCTCCTCGAGTAACCAGCGTGGGCGAATCCGCAGCGTTTTTGTCTCATAAAATATGAAAAGCCACCTGAGGGAGCACCAAGGTGGGGGAGGGGGTTGCCGGGAAGGGAAACGGGGGTGTTGGAGGAAGACAAAATGGTCGCGGAAATAAATAGCGCGGGAGATGCCACCGTGCCATGTTGGAAAAACGTCGTAAGAACCTTCGGACGTGTCCGGATTTCCTTTCACAAAATCCACATTTTCAGAGAAATTTGCGAGTGTCTTTCTTCAAATTTTTCAGACAGTTGAATTTGGAATTTAATTCTGAGTCTCTTAAAATTTTGAGGGAGAGTATTTATTAATATTCTTAAAAATGAATATTGTATCGAAGGAAATCATGCAACGGCGGAGGTCTGATGATGCGTTTTTCCTTAGTGCGGCATGGCAGTGCGATTCCGAGGACGTGTTTCCCCGAGCTCATCATTCGGCAAGAAAGTTGAAAGTCACGCGGGATGCGAGGGCCATGATAAAGTTGCCCCCCGCTCCCCGGGTGACGGTTGACGCCCCGATTCATCCCCCCTCCCCTTCCCCCTCGACCGCCCTCTCCTATTCTAACGGCCACGACTCATAATTCCCGAATAAATGTTAACCATTTATATTTGCTGGCTGGCTTGCGACCGGAGTATTAAGGGCTGCCGATTCTGTGTGGGAAATGCGCATATTTGCGCGATACTTTAAACGTTCCTCGGCGTTTTTTTGGATATTTTGCAACCCCACGTTAGTCACTCTCATGTCGCGGCGCCCGAGAATTGTAGATGCGGTGCAAAGAATGAACTCCCTATTATACGACTCTTGAATGTAGAGGATGCGTTCTGCGCTCCGTTGAAATAATCACGACAAGAGTAGAATGGAAAGATCGCTAATTTTTAATAAGGTGTGCAACGTCATGTAAACTCTTGGCTCATACAGATTCAACCGTGGCGACGGAATCATTTGTAAAGGTCGTATTAACAACAGCGTTTGCTAAAATGACGCTTTCACACCAAGCACAAGGACCCGCGCATTTCTAGAATTCACAAGCTCTTTTAATTTGACTTATGAGCTGGTATATGAGGGAATGGTGGCAGAATCATTGTTCCAATCTCCTTACAATGTTGTATTATTTGTTAGGGTAGAGTAAATAGGTACGGACATTTCGCAAAAGCCGCATGTATGATGTAAAAAGGCTGTCCAAAAATTATACGTAACGATCTAGGCGGTGGGTAGGTGTGAGCGCAACATGGGGTGGGAGGGTGTCAAGCTCAGAGTTACGTAACCGTTAGTACATCCTGGATTTCAACTTTTTTCCAATTTTTCTTCTTAAGCTTTATGAACTAGTTTTTTGTTGTCTCATTATATTTTGTTCCGTAAAATACAGAACCGTTTAATTGATGCGATATGCCCTCTCCCAGTTTTCAGAGAGAGAATTTCTCTCGAGTTTTTTCTTTTTTGTGAAAGAGGAGGTTGTCGAGGCAAATAACACGTTAATATTTTGGAAGTGCCTGACCCAGTGTTAGACGATCGCGTAGCAAGAGGTGAGTGGGTGTAAAAAGATCGAGAAAAATCGGCGTTACATAATTTATGGACAGCTTCTAAGTTCTGCCTCCTTTCCTGAAAGTTTCCGCAAGTCACCAAAAACTGTATAAGTGGCAACTTTTACGCGAAACATTTTAAAGACAAGAAGAGTGAAAATTGGTGGTGAAATTCTTACCTTGAGAGATGCCATGTCAGAGACGGACCGATGCGTCTGTATCGTCTCTAATTGATCTAAGCACCAGTCTAATTCCTCCATTGTTTCTATTGATAATTTTAAATAAGCGTCATCTGGAAACAGACAAAACACCCCAATTAATCATTCAGTAAAAAAAAAAAAATGTTTTAAATGAAGTATCAAATCATAAAGTCAATATAAGTTATTTAAGTTGAAAACTCCTGCCTTAGAAGCGACAACGTTGTTAGGCAAAATTCAATTACGATTCTCCAGGAATATTTATCGGAAGAAAGGTAAAAATATAATGAGTAAAACCGAGGGGATGCTGAGAGGCTCTCCTCATTGGGTAATGCTCCAATTATATTTTGCTATCTCATCAGGAGCGATGAGGTATCGTTTTTCTTGGATTAAAGGATTATACGGCAAAGTCCTTGTTTAAGAACTTGCAACTATTTTTGAATTATTCATTAAAGTAATTCCATAATTACCGCACGATGCAACGGTTATAATTGATTTCAGTTTTTCAAAGAGAACTAGACAAATACAAGATTAACCCGTGCCTAAAATTAGATCGTCAAGATGTTTCCCGTTTTTTCCCTTTTTTGATTTTTCCATTTTTTCAATATTGAGTATTACTGAGGAAGTAACTTTTCATCAACTTACACCTGTTTGATCTTTGATGCCGGCTTCCGTTTAGACAACTCTTGATTGTTATAAATTGCGTTTAAGGTATTAAAATTTCAAGTTCTATCGAGGGAGGCCCCCGCATCCCGATTAAGCAAAGTTCATCCATAAATCATCCCTCCTCTCAGAAGATGTGCACTTAAGTGCGGCCCACGCCTACACCACAGACTGCGCCTATAAAACACCTTTCTGCATTGGGGAATCAATGGCATATATGTTGTTTCTAAAATGATCCAGAAATACCGGTTCCTTCTTGCAAAATGCGGTCCATATGTGTACCCAACGAGTCAATAATGTTAAATTACTATCGAATGAATAATCCTTGTCGGGGCCATACCGTATTCTTCGAGCGAGGTCATTCGATACCGATTCACAATCGAACTGCAGTGAGGTTTCGCGTCCAAAAAGACTGAACTCATTTTGACGGTTTGGCAATGCGAATGTCGGATGGGATTATTCCAACTATAAACGGTAATTTTTCACCGTAGTTGAAGCTACGGCGGACAAATCTCTGTGCGAGGCTAGTGAGGGTACGGTGAAGGGGGCGGCGGGGGGCATAAAATGAATTAAACCGAGAGCGACGTCCGCAAAAACGGGAAGGGAGACTATTCACTGGGAGCACCCGGTTATCGTGGCAGCGGGTTGGGGGGAGGGGGGGAGAATTGCAGCCCCTGTGGGAGAGTGGTGGGGGGAGGGGGTGCGGATCGATCCTGGCCCCGGAGTGCGTCGATTTCCTGCCTTTCGCGCATCGCGCCGGATTTAAGGGTAAACAAGTGCCCCCTCCCCGTCCACCCATCACCATCACCACCATCCGTACTCCACTGCCCTCCTGCGTCCGCAAATCACCGGATCAGTACCGAAATTTCTCGTTGAGAACGCTGGACCCGCAGGGAACCTTCAAGGAATGTAGGAGCAGAAGGCCCACACAGTCATTTCTTCCTCACTTTCAGTGAACCGTAAAAACTGCGAATTTGTTGTGCATTGTAAATTTGTTTCAACTAAAGCTTGAATCGTAACTTGGGACCGGCGTGATTGGACTAGAAAACTTTGAAAGTCAAAAGTCTGCGGACATCTTAGGGAGAAAAGTGAATTTCAGCCTTTGTGATGTTGGTTCGTTTTTGCGTCGAATTTGTTCGAAAACCTTTCCCTTGATGTATTTCTGTAAAAATTAGGAACCAAAAAAGAGCCGCTCACAACCAATTGTCTGCGAGAAATTGGCTCACGGGAGGCGCAGTATAAAAAACTCGATAGGTCCTGGCGACTATCGTCTCGAGAGACCGGCGTTGTTTATATTCCCCGTGAATCCTTTAAAAGTATTTTATTAGCTTATTTATATGCAGAGAGCGAAATGTAAAAAGTTAATGAGATGTTGAAGCAAGAAAGATAGAACGCGCCATGCCATTAAAAGTCTTGAAAGCTCAGAAATGTAAAAATGCAAACATACTCCCAAGCTTTGAGCCGGAAAACGCGCGGGTAAAAGAGTTTCCCGAAGATGAATTTAATTTGTTCAAACCAGGTAAACCCTTCGACTCTCACTTTTCGATTCATGAGCGTTATGAGGATTTGAGAGGGAATGAAGAGGATGAGGGAGGGTAAAAGAGGACTGAGAGAGGTAGGAGCAAAAGAACAGGCGTCCTGCACTAACAGTATGCTTAATCCAGGTACCAGCGTCATAGGTTTGAAATAATCTGAGGTGTTCTGTTTGATTGCGTTTAAAAAGGCATCATTCGCGAGAAAAAGAGAGAAAAAACACTTAATTAAACGAACCGATAAGCTCAGTAGATATAATTTCAATGCAAAGTATTGAGTCCTTAGTCAAGCTGACAAACCTCTTGGGTTGACAAAAATCAAACTTTCGCTTGTTGGCTAAAGGAAATTAAAGATTTTGGCGTGGAAGTCCATCCGACACTTTTGCGAAAAATTATTCAATTTGTATTTTTATTAATTTTTTCTTCAACAACTGAGTTGATTCTGAAGAACAAAATAATAATGAGACAGTCGCTCTGTGTCCTTTCGTCTTTACTGTTATAACATAATAAACAAACTACAACAGTCTGCTTCGACGATCCATTTTCTGTGACCGTCAGATCACGGTGCTTATGCATATGCATAGTAGGGTGACTGGCGAGAGGATGGGGAGGCATCATCGCGGTAGAGGATTTTTAGGGATTCGATTTTTCAACCCAAATCTCTGGATTCAGCAACCCATCCACTCCTCTTACTCCAATAGTTTTCTCAATTCAACCGATTACTCTCCAAATGACTTAAGAGCGAAAATTAAACATAGAAATAAGGTTTTCATTGATTATTATGGCCTTTACCAAGATGTATCTCACAGAAAAACAAAGTTTGAGACAATAAAATTTTAAAAGCCTAAAAAACTTTTGAGTTTGCAATTTTTCTAGTCTTTTACTGTCAAAAAATCCAGTTTTTTTTCGATCTTCAAGAAATTACGTCTGTTGTGCTTACATCATTCGGAGCATAATCGGTTCAATTTACGTCATTATATCTTGCTCGCATACAAACGTGGAAGTGCGTCCTTGTTTTCAGTTTTCGATTTATTAGAGCGCAGGCGCCTACTCAGTGCCTCGGGACCCACTATGATGATTTACAGCCTGTAAGAACTTTGTAAGTGGTCATCGACTCTAAATTGAAGAAAAAAACAAGAGGCAGGAACGACAACCACGAATATTTTACGACCCTTCCGACGAAAATAATTTTCGCGTGAGCTGGAGATCTGCGGTTTTTATTTTTACTCGGCTAACTTTAGCATACGACCGCCGGACGACGATGTTTTCCGTGCACGGGTACACTATCGTAAAATTAACGTGCAGGGGCAAAATTCCGGGAGACTCTGAAAGTTTGGAGTTAATTTGGAGTAGAGGGGGTCGCGGGGTAGGCTCCGATTTGATTCGACAACCTTTTCTGATCCGGTCGTGGCCAACGGGTGGGAGGAGAATACATCTCGATGCTAGACGGACGGCAGTGTTGTGAAGTTTAAGATCAAAAGTTCAGAAAAGTTCACACAATGTCTGACAACCGGGATTAGAGGGACCAGAAAACACGGAAGTAGTATTTCAGAGGAGAACATTTCCTCAAATTGAGTCGAATTATTAGAATTTAAGTTTCCGGTGAATAACACCCTAATTCATGATAGACAACTTGACATGCGGTGAAAATCAACTTACTCCGGGGCAAAGGCTGTATAAAAAGTTTAATAAAAAATCGGGACATTATGAAATCGTTCTCAATCTCATTTCAAGTCGGTAAAGCAAAAGTAAGTTGTTGATACCTGTTGTAGCGTAACAGGACGGCAGGACCAAGGGACATAGAGTTTTAATCGGGGGAAGCCAAGACCAGTATTACAAAATCTTACTTTTTTCAAAAAATAATAAATTAATAAATAAAAATTTAAGAGTAAAATATCTTTTATAAATCGGGGGTAGGAGACGGGGGTAGGGGGTAAAAAGTTGGCCAAAATGCTTTACGTAATACTCAAGCGGCTACTAATCAAGACCCTGATAACGTTTTGAGTCAATTATTTAATTATAATAATAATTTTAATTTTTTCTTAATTTTTTTTTTATTTTAAAAAGGAAGTCAAATGTTTTATCAAACCATCATGCTTCGATCGGACGAACCAGCAAATCCAGCATCGAAAGCTTAAAGCAGCCCAATAAGACATCGAATTGCGGTATATTGCATGGTTAAGATAGGGCTACGTCTCGTCGTATCATATCGACATAGTTTCAATAATCGGGCCGCTGCCTAAGATATACCAAGAGCGATGGAAACGTTAATTTTCTCGCGCTGTAATTACGATGCGCTCGGATGAGATCAAACTTGACAACAAGTCGGACGTGTTGCGTCACGTCGCTGTGAAGGCGCTGCGAAAAAAAACTTGACCTCACCCAATCTGCCATCTGAGCATTATGTTTTATTGCGTTCTCGCTCACGTAAAGTTCATTGCTCGATGCGATGTAGTCGTCTCCTTCATCCCCTCCCCCTCCTCCACCCCCTTCCCCTCTCCTTCCGACTCCCGCGTAAGCACGGATTTAGTCCCAGTGACGTGATCGAAATACTTCATTTTGGATCAGTCGCATCTGAGAGACGCACTTCTTCACGTCTAATTTCATCAGAGCCGATCGATAAACTTATTTATCGTGAGATTTTGCCTCTAAATTATATGGAGAGGAAATATCGGATGCGACGTTATATGATCTAGATAAGTCAGGAGGCTAATAAATTGACAACCAAGAGGATAAGAAGCGGGTAGAGGGAACATTAATGATTTTTTCGGCAGAGTCAAGTCTGGCGAATTTCAGTTTTTTGTTGATATTTTGTTACATGGAACGGAAAGCAACCGCATTTTCACTTCAATTTTTTTGTTCTCCCGCTTTTTTACAAGCACTGTTCAGATATTTTATTT